AAGAAGCCAGCATTTGCATCATCACTTGATTGCAAGATACAGAAAAGAATAATTGCAACGAGCATTTAAACCCTTCGAGATGATTTATCTAAACTCTCAGTTCTCATGATTCCTTTTGGCCCAGGATTTAATATTGAGCTTCAAACACTCGGTTAACACAGGTCAGGCCAGAGATGTGCAAGCATAAAAAATTAAAAAAGAGAGATAAAACACCTTCTTTCCAACCCATTTTTGACAAGAGTTTATGCCCAACATTATCAGACTGGATCTTTGCTTTCTGCGCAGTTTCCTTTGCAGCTTTTTGTGCCGCAGCATCATTGCAGGCAGCCAAGAACTTTTCAAGTTCTTCCTGTGGAATATAATCACCCATATGATGACCTTCTTTGCAGGAGCACCTAAGCAACAAAAAGGAAATGTTTTAGCAGTAAGGGAAAGAAAACAGTATGTCGATGTGAACGCACAAACACCCATTTCAGTCGGGACAAAGATTCACCTTGAAGGGAAGGAGGTGGTGGCATCTCATCTTTGGATTGCTTAGGCATTCTCCTCTTCTCTTCCTGAGCAGCTTTCTTCATGTAAAACTCCATCATTGCAATAGGATCGGAACCTGCTGGTGCACTGGATGAGCCTGCACCTTAGAAAAAATGTATATAACATCAGGCAAACAAAATTGTCCATTGGTATGTCTGTTTATATCAATATACAATTGCAAGTTGATAATAATCAATGGTTGTTCATATCAAATTACACTCTAGAAGGATGATTTAACAGAAAAGAAAAATGATGTATACCATTGATAAACAGCTGTAAGTGTAGATTAGCCAAAAAGTAAAAGAATGGTTGATATTAAAACCCAATAGTGGTACAATAACACTTTCAAATTATTTTAATAAAAATTATCAACCACCTTTAAACAGACAGATGGACATAGAGTAGACATTTGAAGAATTTGCAAGAGAAAAGAAAGAATGACAAATTTTCATTCAAAGAACTTGATAACTCTAATCATAGAAAGCCAAGGAAAGCCACAGTCGTATTCATTATTTCATCCAACAAAGCAACTAACAGCAAATATCTCATGAATCATCACCTGCTCTTCCCACCGAATTCACTGAAGATCTAGGCTCCTCATTGTCATATAAAGCAGAGGCAGGTGTTTGATAACTTGATTGCTGTGGAATTTCCCTGATAGAGCTGCTTGTGGACTTAGAAGCTGAAATACCAGTACCGCATAGATAAAGAATTAAATATGTCATTACACAAGGGCAATACATTTTAAATTAGATAAAACTGCCAATAAAAAATGCAGTTAGAGCATACAGATCCAAGGAGTTCCTATCTAACATAATGATAAAGGGGGGAAAAGTTGCTCACCACTTTGAGGAGTTTGTTGTTCCTTGTTCTGTGAAAGAGCTTTTTCCTCCTCAGCAAGCCGATATGCATAGTATTGTAATCGGAGCAACTCTCATCAAAAAGGAATCTGAACAAATTAGAATATCAAGTACACAAAACATGTCCAATAGGAAAATAAATGCACTCATGGACACAGAGCATATTTAACGTAAAAATATTGATGCAAAACGAACATACATGAAAGTGTGTCTCCAGGGTTTTTTTGACGAGTAATATGTTCAATTGCCTTCCATTTTTTGCAACAAAACTAGCTAGTTTGTCAGCAACATTCTTCACAGTAAGATCGCTTGGGGAAGGTGTGCTGCATATTACTTATAAACTGATTAATACCAAGAGCATGAAGAGAGAATGCAAATAACTCTTGTAGCAGGTGGCCACATCCAAATCTTTCATTGAACATCTCTTTCCACCAAAGAGATATGCTGCCACAAATTAACTCTCATCTACTTTAAGATCAGAAAAGATGGCCAGATGACTTCATAATCACAGCAGCTTATGAAGGGGACTATTTAACCTAGACACCCATTAATTGTATCTTTACAAGAAGAGAAAACGAAGAATTTTTATCTAGACCTCTATTTAAGTCAATGAGAACATAAACGCGAGCAAAATAAACTAGTAGTTGAAACATTCAAATGCCCAATCTAGTTGGAGATGTATCTGACATGCAACCTAAGCAAGTAAAATCCTTGAGTACCATCCATCACAAACAGCAACACAATATAAAAAAAGGAGTAATTACCAACATCCACTTGTTTTGAAGCATGTTCAGAGGCATCGGATCGATCCAATTTTTGCTTTTTAATTGGTTTGTCATCTACCAACTTCCCTGCATCCTGGTCCTCTTCATCCTCATCTGCACCCAACTTAACAGGAGGTGCGATGAGCTTTGATTTCTGTTTCAAGCTGAAGGCAAGTTTGCCTCCTGAAGGAGTTTGGGCGGTCTTGCGTTCCATGGCTACTTTATTAAAGGCAAATGAAGGCTTGGGAGCTGAAGACCCTTTTACAACTTTGGGTGGTTTAGATTCCTCTAAAACTGTAGCCTTGTCTTTCTCATCCTTCTGTTGTTGAAGCTGTTTAAACCTCTCCATGAAGGAACCATCATTAACAAAAAGGCTAGATGGCACTCCTTTCTCCATTGACAAAGAGAAGCCTGCACTTTAAAAGCTATTGACAGGAAGAAGTCTCTGCTGGACAAGGAAAGCTTCCAAGATATTTAGATGTTGCAGTGGGTCTTAAGGTATGATTATTATAACACATAGTTCTACTATATCACACACAAGAAAAAAAAAACCAAGATAAGCTCAGCAGTTAAACGAGAAAGATAAACGATAATAAAATAGGTGTAACCCACACAAATTAATTACGACGTCAAAACAGGACGATAACAGCCATCAGCTGATCATTGGATTCTCCAGGACCGATAACAGCCATCAGCTGATCAATTGGATTCTCCTAACCTATTTTAGGGTTTTTTTCAAAAACATAATACACAACCCTGAATTGATAAAATCAACGTAATTAGATGACAAATAACAGCAAAGAATCAGATCTATGAAGAACCACCAGCATCAGATTCGATCGGAACGCAAACCCGACGGCTGACCGATCGGAATAACAGAAACTTAAAAACAGGGGAAAAAGGTAAAAAGAGGGGGTAATACCGGCTGCGGAACAACCGAGAGAAACTAAGAAAAAGCCCAGAAGAGATGGATGACTTACCTGAAGAGGAGAATATATTGTGGTTTCGAGTTTCGATCTAAGCCTTCAAATCGGAAAAATAATAGAAAATTTACCTTCAAGACGGTTAGGTTTCCAGGGAAAAAAATACTATCATTAGTATTTATATACATTCACAATATATCACGTCAGTCGTCACCACAAAAAATAATATAAATATTTGGCAAAAATGCACTATAGGTCCCTGTACTTTTGAAAAAAAAAAAGTGACTCTTGTATTATTTTTCTCTCAAGGTGGACCTCCAACTCCGAAGATAAACTAGTGTGTACTTTTGACTAACATTTTTCGTCGTTGATCGTTACAGTACTGATGTGGCAGTTCACTGTACTGACATAGTAATCCACGATGTTGACGTGGCAGTCCATGGAGGTTTATGTAGCGGATGACATGACATATGAGTCAAATTAGTAACTCAAATATGGTAGATGGACTGTCATGTCATCACCGTGAATCGACATGTCAACACCGTAAACTGTCGCACGTATACCATAATGATAATTACGCAAAAACGTTGGTCAAAGAACCACATTAAAAGAAAAAATAATACGGTCGCATTGATTTTTTTTTCAAAGTCGAGAAACTTATGATATTTTCTTACCTAAATATTTTTATAATCTCATTAGATTTCGATTTGAAACCGACTTAATAAAGATAATAAATTAAACAATAATTAAAATTTTATATAAACTCTAATTTTGTTGAAAATATGAAGCATTTTTTATGTTGATTAAAAGTGTAAAATTTAGTTTAAGTAAAATTTTATTTTCAATTAAAAAATTATTTCTGTTTATAGATGTTTCAATCACAAGAACGATATCTCTAAAGTACGAAAATTCATTGTTAACTCCAACATCACATTCTAGTTGTGATAAATTAAAAATATAAATTTAATTCTATTAAATAATTTATATTTAAAACGTACATATATTCAAGGATGTGATATATTTTGAGACCATTAATCCTAACTATACTCATCCTGTGATATATTTTATATAATATATTTATAGGTATCGGTTAAATAAAATACATATTAAAATTTTATGAAAAAATATTTATTCTCCGAATGTGACATAATTTTTTTATTTTTTTTAAATTAATAAGTCATCGTAACTCTTGAATTGATAAATTAAACTACAAAATTAACATAAATTTAAAAATTCAGAAAATAAAAAAATCTATATAATATATATAAATACAAAATAACAATAGGATAAATGAGAACGGATAGATACAAAATTATACCTCTTGTAGATTTAATTTTTGTCCATATTCTCGTCTCATTACCTATGAAATAGGGTAAGAACGTAAATGGTCCCCGATTGTAGGGTATTATTTTATTAAGGTCATCAACTATTACAAGCTACAAAATGTTCACCCCGACTATTGAGTATGTTCCAGACTCACATTTTTTCGTTAAAAATTAGTGGTTGTTTAAGTTGGACGTTAACATGATAACTCTTAATTAGGATATTATAGTTGTTTGAGATTTTGGGATCAACTTTTATCATATCACATTCAAAAAGTTAACGTTCTTCTAAAAAAATTATATATTTTAACGAAAAATGATGAGTTTGGAAAATAATGAATAGTCAAGTGACTGTTTTGTAATCGGATCTTCGCAAAATGATCCCATTAACGTTGTCATTTTAGTTATGCTTTAAATATATAAATAGATCAAAACAAAGTTTAGTTATTAAAGGGGAAAAAAAGGAATCCAGTTGGGAGGTTAGTTAAGTTAGGTACAATGTTTGTTTTTCGAAATAAAGGACATACCTTTCCCCGGTTGATCCGTACCCTTCACGGCCCAATACCAATCAAGTTTCGCTGCCATTTCTTCGGCGCCAATTCGAATCTGTTAATTCGTTGCGCGTCGAAATTTTCTGAATCATCCGCAAAAGGTTTCATGGGTAATCGAATTAGTAATTCGAGGAGCGAAGAATTCAAGTCAGTGTTTCTTGAATCTACTTCTAAAAGATTAAAAATGTTGTATATTGTTAATTGCTTCATGTTGGATTTTGGCTTCCTTTTCTCAATCATTTTTCTTTTGCCTTATTTACTCATTTACTGTTAGAGTTAATAAGAATATCCGTTGAATCTTTCAATGTGGATGATCTAGGCTTTAAGAACCTGTTAAATGAAATGAGGGTTAGATTGCTCTTCATCAAGACAAGTTTTCCCCATCAGTTCCATATTATTCATATTTGAGTTTCTTTTTAGAAGATAACTTGTTATTTCCCCCTTTATTGGTTGTTATAGGTTGATCCTAATGGCGGGTGCTGAAAGATGCAGAAATGGTGAAGGGGCACCGTTGGTGGTAAGTATTTGAGCCTTCAAAGTCGGAGGTTAATTTTGTTTGAAGATGCTTTATTCGAATATGTATGCTGTTTCAAGATTTTATTGAGATTTGAGAGGTTCTTTAATTAAGATGTTTAGCTCTTTACTCTGTTTCGAATATCCGTGTCTATTTGTATATGACTATGTCTATGGGGGATATAACGCACTGAAGGCCCTTCAAATTCATGGAAGAACTTAGAAAATGTTGAACATGTACTTGTGTTGGAGAAAGTTGTATCCGACACTCGCATCAAAATCTGAGTAACATAAGTTTCATTTATAATTCGAAGTTGGAATTGATATCTTTGAATTTAGTCTTACATAAGCTGCTTTCTCTTCAGCCTTTTATCTTTGATATCAGTTCTTTGTTAGCAATAACATTTTATTTTCATAACTTGGAATTATAGCTTTCTCTCGCTCTCGCTCTCTGCACCGGGTAAAATTGTTGTCATAGTTCTTTGGTTAATTTCATTAAGACTGCATCTTCCCTTTATCATAAACTTCAAGTAACATCATCCCTTCTGTCAGGCACAAAATGATGATCATGGATTTAACGGGCTTATTCCTCAGTTATTTACCTCACTACCAGCTCTAAATGAAGCTGTTTTTCTCTTGCACAAACAACTAATTACTTTACTGGGCTTTTTCTGATATTGCGGTAAGTTGTTTCTCTTCATCTTGTATTTCTGCTCTCCCTTTTCCGTCTGCAATATTTTTGTTGTACACAAGTCTCATTTTTGTTCTTTTTTCCCTTCTTCTTTTCTGAGATTTAATCAATTCATTAAGACTGCATCTTCCCTTTATCCTAAACTTCAAGTAACATCATCCTTCTGTCAGGCACAAAATGATGATCATGGATTTAACGGGCTTATTCCTCAGTTATTTACCTCACTACCAGCTCTAAATGAAGCTGTTTCTTCTCTTGCACAACACAACTAATACTTTACTGGGCTTTTTTCTGATTTGCGGTAAGTTGTTTCTCTTCATCTTGTATTTCTGCTCTCCCTTTTCCGTCTGCAATATTTTTGTTGTACACAAGTCTCATTTGTTCTTTTTTCCCTTCTTCTTCTGAGATTTAATCATTTGCCTTTGATATTTTCATGTGAAACTTGCTGATAAATCAAACAAATGGTTTCTTCATTTCTTTTGGCTTTTATTTTTCTTCTCATTTATTTTACCCTTGAACTATGGATGTTTTCGTTGAAACTCTTTTGGCAATGTTGCAGGGCTCTTCTGCTAGAGATTCCGTTGTAAATTCAAAGAAATAAAACATTTTTCTGTACCGACTGAGAATGGTTCTGTGATTATTAATCATCCAATTTCAAGTGAGAGCAGCACTGCCTCTGCGGGAGATCCATCTGAAATAACTGGTTCAACTACAAAGTCAGAATGGGAAAAATGGGATTTCCATTTTTCAAGGGTACGTATTCCTGTATGCTAAATTTGAATGTCTTCTATGAGGAAAGTTGTGAAAATGAATGTGATTCGAAAATGCCTCCCATATTTAAATAGTTGTAGTTACAATGCTAAAAGGTCAAAGCATTGCAGTTTTTAAGTTCCACATATGCTCTCAATGAAGCTACTTTTCAATTAAAATCATAGAGTTTTTATGGTTAATAATCTTCCCCTTTTCTTTTGATCTCTATTTCGTGTTCTTAGTGAATAAACAGTTTTAATTATGGTATTCAATCTTTCAAAAATAACTCAGGCTTATGAAAGAGCACAGAGGACTGTTCGTGGATCTGCAGACGATATAGGATGGTTGAAGCGTGATCCTGAGATGCCTCCGGTTGAAGATGGAACTGAGCAGTTTACAGAAATTTAGACAATATTAGGTAAACAGGGCTTTTGCATTTTTGCGTCTATTAACTTGGCAGTTGTACATTCTTGATTAGTTGTCTCATTTTGTTAGGCACGGTCTGCACAAACTACCAAACTCGATTGTTTTTATTGGTACCAGGTATGTTTAGCAATTTTTCCACCTGAAAGCAACAATCTTCGTGCGTGTGCATTGCAAGAGAACAAATTTAGAAACTAACAGGGCTGAATAATCTATTTTGTATCAGCAAAGAAACATATTGTATACCCTTTGCAACTGTTATCAAGAATGTAAATTCATGAATTGCCTCTGCATATATAGTGATTAAGATTCTACATGGGATTTCAACCGATTAAAATCAGTTATGGGGATTCTACTTGGGATTTCAACCAGCTAAAATCAGTCATATGGAAATTTGGAACTAAGAATATGCCAAAATGAACCAAGGCTGAAATGACTTGAATTCAAATTGAAAATCTAACCTAACTTGAGTTCAAATTTGATGCCATTGGGTTGGCATGACAGAAAAAGTAGATGCAGTGAGGGATCTTTGAATTATATCGCGATAATTTCCCCCTTTTGTAACTTTAGATGCAATATTTCCATATCAGTTCATTTTGGTTCTGGCATTTTTGGCAGGTCTTTTCAGCAACCATGGCCTCTCTATTTTGTCAGTACAAAAACAAGTTTTACAAAGATGGGTCTAACTTGTCATATTGCCAAAATTCATAGTGAGGTATATTATTTAATTAGTCTTTGTTGCGGAAGACGGCTATCGGATAGAGCAAAATCGCAACTAATAATTGAGAAAATAAAATGAAGATAAAAAGAGACACAAATTTACGTGGAAAACCCCTAAATTATTAGGGTAAAAAACCACGGGCAACGGTAGAAGAATTTCACTATGAGAAAATAGGAATTACAACCTCTCTCGATCTACCAAGGAGAAAACAGTGATAATTATCTGATAAAAAGGAGAAACAACTCTAAAGAAACTCTCTAAATTCTCTCTAGTATTGGAAGAAAGCTAGAATGCTTTAGGATGGTTTTGAAGCTAAATGAGCTAGGGTATTTATAGTTGAAACGTAAGGACTAATCTTATAAATACCTAAAGTTTAGTGACTAAAGTTTATAATTACCATTTAATTTTCAAACATTATTGCACCTAATTTTGACATTGCAATTAGGTGCCTAACTGAACCAATTTCCAAGTTTTGAAATTTCAACAATCTCCACTTAAAGATTTGATTGGAACAATCATATCTTCACACCATTCTTCTACTTGTACCATCATGTTGCTTACGTCTCTGACAGGCCACAAGAGGATCGACACCAGGTAAATTTATCAGAGTTGATCGCCTTCGTCTTGAAATCTGCTATGTTGTCTTTGGTTGGATTCTGTATATCTATCGTTCCTTTTTCCACTTTTTCACGAATGAATGGTACTGAACTCGTATGTGCTTAGTCCTGAATGAAATGCTGGATTCCTTGCTAAATGCAAGGCGCTTTGACTGTCACAAACAGAGAGACATACTCTTGATTGTGCCCAAGCTCCTCCAATAGCATCTTCAACCAAATTGCTCTTTACTGGCTTGTGTAGCTGCTACATATTCTGCCTCTGTTGTGAACGTAGCCACAACTGACTACAATTTTGAAACCCAGCTTACAGCTCCACCAGCAACTTTGAACAATATCATGTAGTAGATTTGCTTTTATCCAAATCCCCTGCATAGTCAGAATCTACATACCCATAATTAGTAAGTTTGATCCTCCGTAACATAATGCAACATTTGAGGTCCCTTTGATGTATCTTAGGATCCTCTTTACTGTATTCCAATGCTCTTGCCTGGATCGCCATTGTACGACTAACCACTCCCACTGCTTGTGCAATGTCTGGTCTTGTGCATCATAGCGAACATTAAACTTCCCACTGCTGATGCATATAGTACTCGAGACATCCATCCTCCTCTTCACTGCTAGGACTCATACTGGAGGATAATTTGAAGTAATAGGAAGAGGGGTAGAAATTGGCTTACAATCTTGCATGTTGGAATCATGACAAGATCTTCTTCAAGTAATTCTTTTGTGAAAGCCAAATCTTCCTATACTTCTGTCTCGGTGAATTTGCATCCCTAGAATTGTTTGTGATCCCAAGTCCTTCATTTCAAATTCCCTAGCCAGTTGTGCCTTCAATTCTCAATATGATCTTGTTGGGTCCTGCAACCAATATGGCATCCACATACACAGCAAAATAACAAAATCGTTATCACCAGACCTCTTGAAATAAACACAAGGGTCTGCATTAAGTGAGATTGCCAAAACTACTCGAACTGTTGTTAGTCGAACCACAGGAGAAAATATTTCATTGAAATCAATACCTTCTTTTTGAGCATATCCTTGACCACCAGTCTTGCACGATACCTCTCAACTTGATCGTCACCATTTCGCTTGATTTTGAAGACCCATTTGTACCAATTGGCTTCCTTCCTTGTGGTAGTGGCACAAGGTCCCATGTATTATTTTTATGAAGGGCTTCGATTCTTCTTGCATCGCCATCATCCACAGTGAAGCATCTGAGTTGTTTATTGCCTCCTGGTATGTGATGGCTCACCGTCCTCTGTTAAAAGGCAGTATGCAATATTACCTTCTATAACATAATCTGAGTGCCAATTGGGACGTCTTCTCACACGATCTGATTGACGAGTTGTTGGAGCTTCAGAACTCTCTGGTTCTTGTTCATCATGTGCTGGTTCTGCTTCAGAATAATCTCCTCTTCAAACTCTTTTCCACATGTATCTAAGTAGTCTCTGACTTTTCAGCGCTATCATCTTCTTTTCTTGTAGTTATCTTCTACAAAGATAACATCTCTACTAATGATCACTTTGCGGGCAGTGAGATCCCATAAGCGATACCCCTTTACTCCATCAGCATACCCCAAGAATTTGCATTTCCTAGATTTTGGATCCAACTTTGAAATTTCTTGAGATTTGTATATCACATACACTATACTTCCAAATATATGGAGGTTTGAATAGTCAGCTGGTTTTCCAGTCCACATCTCCATTGGTGTCTTCAGCTCTACTGCAGTTGATGGAGCTCGATTCATCAAATAACAGGCGGTATTGACTGCTTCAGCCCAGAATGATTTTTCTAGGCCTACATCCCTCAACATTGCTCTTGTTATTTCTAACAAGTTTCTGTTCATCCGCTATGCCACTCCATTTTGTTGAGGAGTGTTCGCCACTGTGAACTGTCTTTTGATGCCTTATTTCCTGCAAAAGTCATCAAATTCTTCGCTTGTGTATTCTCCTCCATTATCTGTTCTGAAACACTTGATCTTATTTCCAGAATCAAGTTCCACCCGCGCTTTGAAGTTTTTGAAAGTTGAAAACACGTCTGACTTCTTCTTAATAGGGTGCACCCAACATCTCTTGGAGTAGTCATCAATAAATGAGACAAAGTATTTTGCTCCACCTAGGGACATTATTGGTGCTTGCCATACGTCAGAGTGAACCAATTCTAGAACACTTTTGCCTCTAGAATTTGATGTGTTGAATTTCAACCGGTGCTGCTTACTTGTTATGCAATGCTCACACAAAGGAAGTGATACCTTTGTTAAGCCTGGAAGTAGCTTTTGCTCCAAAAGGACCTTCATTCCTTGTTCTGACATGTGTCCAAGTTTCTGATGCCATAGCATTGCCGAATCTGAACTACATGAGGCAACAGAGGCTTCTGCTTCTACCAAAGTCTCTCCCTTCAGCATGTACAAGTTTGCAGCTATTTTTTCGCCTTTCAGCACCACAAGCGCTCCACGGAACACCTTCATGATTTCTTTCCGTGTTTTAATCTTGCTTGCATTATTATCCAACAATCCGTAGGATAATAAATTTTTCTTCAGGCCTTTCACATGCCGCACATCTCGAACAACTTTAATTGTTTCATCATATATCTTCAATTTGATGGTTCTCACACCAACGATTTCTAAGACATGATCATTGCAACTATACACAGATCCTCCTGAGACAGGTTCATAATGATGGAACCATTCTCTTCTTGAGGTCATGTGATATGTCGCTCTCGAATCAATGAGCCATATATCTGCAAATCTTTTTCTGCCTTCCACAGTGGTTCACGCTTCACAGCATAGAGCATCTCCATCATCTGAAGTGTTTGCAGTATTGCCTTGTGGATTAGAGTTTTTATTTAGACTCCAACAATTCTTCTTCAAGTGACCCTTCTTTCCACAGTGGTAGCACTTTAAATTCTTCTTGCTCCTCAACTTCGATCTACCATGTTTATGACTGTTGCTTTGGCCACGTTCTGTTGATCTCCCTCTCATCGTTGTCATCGTTGTCATCGCTTATGCTTGTTACAGATTTACTTGTCTGTCTTCCTTGTTCTTGCGCCGATTTTCTTCTTGTATAATAGCAGCTGCAACGTCATCGAAGACTAGACTGGTGACATTACTGTTTGCCAAGTTGATGATGAGTTGATCATATGAATCCGGTAGACTTTGAAGTAGAAGTTCAGCACGTTCTTGTTCTCCTATTTTACAGCTTAAGGATGTAAGCTGAGAAAATAAGGTGTTCAGTGTATTTAAATGCTCCGTCACTGAAGTAGATTCTGACATACGGAGAGTGTACAATTTCCTCTTAAGGAAAATTTTATTGTGCAACGATGTGGCCTCGTACAATTTGGTAAGATGATCACATATCTCCTTAGCTGTCTTCTTCTCCTCGATGCTTGACAATACTTCATCTGCTAATGCTAGATGAAAGTTTGTCATAGCATTCCCGTCCATCTGGTTCCATTTGATGTCATCTGTGAAATCCACCGGTCTTTCATTGATAGCCGCTAGACACCCTTCTTTCCTTAGGATGGCCTTCATCTTCAATTTCCACAATGAGAAATTTCTCCCATTGAATTTTTCAATATCAAATTTCGTTGCCATAGCTTCTTTTACGGATAGCTCCCACTATTTCACTATCGTGAATAGTTCTCTGGAACCTTCAAAGAATGGGTAATAACTTCTTATTTTCTTATGCTGGAGGATCCACCTTTTGGTGGCAACCACAAAGACAATAAGCATATATTACACACTCTAATCTAGCTCGGATACCAATTGTTGCGGAAGACGGCTATCGGATAGAGCAAAATAGCAACTGATAATTTGAGAAAATAAAAATGAAGATAAAAAGAGATACAAAATTTATGTGGAAAACCCCTAAATTATATAGGGTAAAAAACAACGGGCAACGGTAGAAGAATTTCACTATGAGAAAATAGGAATTACAACCTCTCTCAATCTACCAAGGAGAAAACAGTGATTATTCTCTCTTGATAAAAATGAGAAAACAACTCTCAAGAAACTCTCTAAATTCTCTCTAGTATTGGAAGAAAGCTATAATGCTTTGGGATGGTTTTGAAGCTAAATGAGCTAGGGTATTTATAGTTGAAACTTAAGGACTAATCTTATAAATACCCTAAAGTTTAGTGACTAAAGTTTATAATTTATCCATTTAATTTTCAAACATTATTGCACCTAATTTTGACATTGTTGCACCTAATTTTAACATTGCAATATTAGGTGCCTAACTTGAACTAATTTTCCAAGCTTTGACATTTCAACAGTCTTCAATTCCACTGCTCTGTGCTTTTTAGTCTATACTGAACGTTGACAATTACTGATCAGGCCTCAGTTGAGAAAAATGCCAAAGAAATAAAAGATTGCATTGAGGAAATGTATTGGGGTTCCAACAAACGTGTTTTGCTTCTGGGGCATAGCAAAGGTGGAGTAGATGCCGCGGCTGCTTTATCTATCTATTGGTCTGACCTGAAGGATAAGGTTGCTGGGTTGGCAATAGCACAGAGTCCATATGGTGGAAGCCCTGTAGCTTCGGATATCTTGAGAGAAGGACAACTTGGTGATTATGTGAATGTACGGAAACTTTTGGAGATTCTGATTTGCAAAGTCATTAAGGTATGATATTTTCTTTCCTCTCAAGCGTGTACAAATAATTGGTTGTATCATTATATGCAATTATGTCTGCTGCAACTTGCCAACTTCTGAGTTTCCATGGGAGAAACTTGACACTTGCTTTGGTATTTGAGTGATTTTTTCCTCTTTATACGGAAGAAGGGTTGCTTTATAGATGAGTCCACTTTCTAGTGTAGTAATCTATTTTAGTAATTGCTATGTTGTTTTGATGCTTCGTTTTTCTTGAACTACTCGTGACCGACGGCCATACCATCTTTAAGGTTACGAGAATATGATCCTCCGCTTATAAGTTATATCCGATGTTGAAACCCTTTTTTGAGTAACATAAATAATTTGCTTCTCTTCACATTTCATTTATCTAACAATATGTGCATGAATAATTCCGACTGTAAAGGGGGACATGCAAGCTTTGGAAGACTTGACTTACGCGAAGAGGAAGGAATTTTTGAAGAAACACTGTTTACCTAAGGAGCTTCCTGTTGTTTCTTTTCATACCGAAGCCGGCATCACTCCTGCCGGTCTGGCTACATTATCTCATATTGCTCATGCGGAACTACCATTGATGGCTACCCTCTCTGATGGCCAGCCAGCAAGGTTGCCCGTGGTCATGCCCCTCAGTGCTGCTATGGCCGCATGCGCGCAGTTGCTGCAGGTCAGATATGGTGAAAAGAGCGATGGGGTTGTGGCGTGCTGTGATGCAGAAGCCCCGGGATCCATTGCGGTCCGGACACAACGTAAATTAGACCATGCCTGGATGGTTTATTCATCATTGAATGACGACCCTTCCGAACCAGATGCAACGCAAGTGTGCGAGGGTCTTTTAACACTGCTCGTAGAAGTTGGACAGAAAAAAAGACACCACTATCGGTGAGAGATGAATGAGGTAAAGGTGGCTTGTGTCATTGCCACACTTGGTTGTAATGAATGTCAACTGAGAAGCTGAGGTTCTTCTAAATTCTATTTGGCCAACAGGTAAGGGTGAACGTTTGATCGGATAGAATCGAGTTATTTAAGTTGATGAGTCCTATTTTATAACTCATATTTGATTTGATTTTTTTTTGAATTGAGTCGAGTTAATAAAATTCAAGTCAAATTAAATCGAGTCGGGTTGTTAAAGTTTATATTTAAATTTAATTGTAAATATTATAATATTATGTATTATTGATTTCAATAAATGATTTTTATAACTATATATATATCTTTATATTTTTTCATATGTGATATATTTTATTGTACAAAATAGCTTGAAAATCAATTCATTAATTATATAAATTTTGAGTTATTCGAATTCTATTTTATAACTCAACTTGAATTTACTCTTTTTTTTTTGAATTAAATCGAGTTTATTAAATTATAACTTGAAATTAATTTAAATCAAATCTTTTTAGTCGATTTGAGTTTTGCTTCCCCTTACGAACAGGGCATCGGTAGCTCCATTGAAGCCTGAATTGTTACGATGATGAAAGCGTATACGTCATTGTTGTACATAGTTAACCTCTTAAGTTATCTCGACGCAAATTTGAGTGTCGGGAACGGGCGTATATAAGATACGTGTCGGATTTCAGTATATAGTGTATTTTCCATGGAAGCCAGCTTAGCGGAGACTCATGCAGTAATTGCAGGAGATCGGTTGGGGACTATGGTTGGCAGCGTGTTGCGGTGGAGTATGATTCTTAACTCGTGATTAACAAGCTGCGACGTCAAACAAATGATATTTCACCGTTTGGAATTCATTTGATTGAGGTGGATAACCTATGAAATTAGGTCGGGTTTAATACAATTATTTAGATTATGTATTCTAGACCTATTAATAATATCTTTTTTTTTATTTTTTAAATTCTCTCTTTTCATTCTCATCTAAGTAGGATTATATTTAAAATTCATAAAAAAACAACGTATTTTAAATCAATGTCACATTATTTGATTAAACTTCAAAAAATAATTTAATTTAGTATCATTGTCGATATAATATATAATGGTACGTTAGATTGAATGAAATGACCATCCAGCTCAGTTTGTAGAGTACAAGGCTCTTAACTTTGGGGTCGTGGGACGAATTCCATGGACGGCATTTCATAATTCGGAGGTCTCCTACGAAAACTGTTCTCAACTTGGCATTTAGGGCAGTCTACTATTCTACATCCCCTTATCCCATTACATATGAGAATAATGGTTAGCTAATTTTTTTTTACGTGAGATTGAACCTACTTTGGCATTCAATATCCTCCTATATATGAATTGGGGATACGAGTACTTTGGGCATTGTATCAAAAAATTTAAAAGGTAAAATACACAAGTGAACGCTAAATTATATTAAAACAATCTTTTTGGTAATAATCATTGCGTAACAGCTTATTAAGTTTATTTAACATTTATAACAGTATGATAAAATTTAATAATCGCTTTATAACTATTTGAAAATTTTAGGATAAATTACGTGTTTAGTAAGTAAACTGTTAATTTTGGTCTATTTTATTACCTAAAATTTATTATTTTTTCAAAATAATATCTAAAATTTAGTTTTTGTTTCATTTTGGTACCCTGTCATTAAAAATTATAGTTTTTGTTTCATTTTAGTACAATGTTCAAAATTTAACGTTAAGTTTTGGAAAAAAATGAAAGTTTATGCACTAAAACGGACCAAAACTGATAATTTAGGTAATAAATGTGTTAATTTTTAACGACGGGTACTAAAATGAAATGAAAACTAAACAATATGTATGATTTTAAAACAATTGAAAGTTTAAATACTAAAACGAATAAAAATTGATAGTTTAGATACAAAATGTGTAGTTTACCCAAAAAATTAGTGGTCATTTTATAATATTTAAAAGGGTTAACTACATGAAATATCACTTACTTTTATGGTTTGTATACTTTTGGTCACTGATTTAAAAAAACATAAGATACGACCATTTTATTTTTTATTTAACTAAGATGTGGTCACTTTCTTTTTTGTTTAATTAAGATGTGGTCACTCCGAGTTAACTTTCGGTAACATCAATTAAATATTTTGGTAGAATCATATTTGGTCCCTGTTATTTTACATATTCTCTTAATTTAGTCATACTTTTAATAAATTAAAATAAATTTAATCCTTCAATCGAATGATGTCACGTGTCATGCCACGTAGTGGTGAGCGTTCGATCAAGCAGAGTCGAGTAAAAAAAATTTAAGTTATTCAAGTTGATGAGTCCTATTTTATAACTCGAAGTTGACTTAAAAAAATTTCGAGTCAAGTCGAATCAAATTTTTGAGTTTATGTTTAAATTTAATTATGAGTATTTATAATATTATGATATTATTTGATTCCAATTTAAATGATCTTTTATAACCATATACAATACATGTGTACTTCTTCATATTTTTTTCATATGTGATATGCATTTTATGATAAAAAGTCAAAAGACTCAACTCAAACTTGAAAATCAATCCACTAATTACTAAAATTTTCAAGTCATTCGAGTTGTATTTTACAACTCGGTTTAAACTTAAAAATTTTTGAGTCAAGTCGGGTTTATGAAAGTTAATCCTCTGACCAAACGGTGACACGTGACATTAGGGGTGAGCGAAATTCAACTCAACTCGAAGAACCTTTTTTCAACTCGACTCGAAAAAATTCTAAGTTCAAATCGAGTTGGAAAATACAACTTGAATAACTTGAAAATTTTAGTAATTAGTTGATTGATTTTCAAGTTTGAGTTGAGTCTCTCGATTTTGTATCATAAATGTATATCACATATGGGGAAAAAATGAAGAAATGCACATGTATTATATATGGTTATAAAAGATCATTTAAATTGGAATAAAATAATATCATAATATTATAAATATTTATAATTAAATTTAAACAAAAACTCAAAAATTTGACTCGACTCGACTAAAATTGTAACATCCCAAACTATGGGTTAGTGACTTAATTGTAAAGTTTCAGAATTTGGTGATTAAAGTAGAAGAATGGATTAGTTCAATGATTTATCTGGAAATAAATCCTAAAAGTTGTTAGTAATTATTAAAGGAATTAAAGGGCAAAATGGTCTTTTTATCTAAAAGATAATTATCTTATCTCTTTATTAAGAGATAAGCATGTAGGGAGATATTTCTCCATAACTTCTTCTCCTTCTTCTTCCTCTCCTCCCGTATCTCCAAGCTCAAAGGTGAGTCTTCTACTTAGTTAATTATTTGTTAAGTTTAAGATTGGGTTTTGATCATTAGATGATAACTAAGCTTAAGGAAAGCTTAAGTTATCTTAAGATCAAAAGATAAAGGAGATAGAGAAGATTAAAGATTAGAGGTTCTTGAATGAAATCTTGGAATAGAGTTCATAACTAGAATTGAAAGTTATATCTGACTTGTCATCAATATAGTTAAGATATACGAAGTGTTAAAAGCATAATTCAAACATGTTGATTTATTAATATAATTATTGAATTATATATGAAGGATAGGATTTGAAGGTTTAAGATGAAATAAATGAGTATAAATTGGTTTAAGGATGTGTACTATAGTTAAGAATGAAAAAGAGGATTAAACATGAAGGATTTAATCCAAAATGAATGAATTTTCGGGTTCAAAAAGAGGATTCTGGGCAGAGTGCATCGATGCACATTCATAGTGCATCGATGCATCAAGGTTAAAACCCAGAAATTGTTTGAAGGCGTATCGATGCACTCTTTTAAAACAAAAACATCGAATGCAATTCATGCATCGATGCATAAGTAGTGCATCGATGCATAAGTAGTGCATCGATGCATCCCATTAATAATGAAACATCGAATGCAATTGGTGCATCGATGCATAAAGAGTGCATCGATGCATCCCATCAATAATAATACATCGAATACCTTTTATGCACCGATGCATCAGTAGTGCATCGATGCATACCTTCATTAAAAGATGAAATTGACTTTTCTCTTAGTCTAAAGAGTGAACCATTAGAGTATATTAGTTATAATACTGATATAAATCCATGTGTGATTATGTAGATACTAAAAGTAAGCTTATTCCGGAACGATCAAAGGATTAGAATCAAATCAAAGCAAAGCTAAGGTGAGTGCATACTATATGTATATTATAATGGAATAAGACTTGCGATAAGCCTAATCCCTAAGTTGATTTTTATAATATAATAGTTGTGAACATGCATACATGATAATTATTGTGATACATGCATAAGACATATATATGTTCATGTGATATGATATGTGATATGACATGTGATATGAGAACATGATATGAAGTGATATGAGATACATGATCACAAGAGAAATGATATGAGTACATGAACATATGAAATATAACAATAATGCCCATAGTATACGATATGAGAACTATAGGTGTAATTGGCATGCCAAGAGTCGAGAGTATAATAGTCCTTCAGGATGTAGGGGTCCTACGGGACATAGATAATAGTCCTATGGGACGAATATCGATCTAAGGTTCGGTGCCCCATGAGGGAATTGATACGAGCTGTGGTGACAACATTAGTGAACAACCTCAATATACTCACATACCTATATTCTCAATAATATACATGGGTTATGCAATTGAAATACCGATTTACAGTGAAAGTGATACAAGAAGGTAAGTTTCATATGTGCATTATATGTTATCGTGCGATAGATACCTGCATATTGAAATGTCATGATCCAATGGTAAGTATGAACATTCATAAGTTTATTGTTGCATATTCATTTATTGCCTCACTAAGTCTATGACTTAGCGTGTAAGTGATTTACACGTAGGTACCAAGAATCAGGAAAAGTGGAAATAGAAGTAGCACGGACATTAATACTACTAAGAGATCATATCAAAAGTAATTGACAAAGTATGTACTTGGTTATGTATAGAATGTTGGCATGTAATAAGTGTTAATTACGAATACTCTGATCGATTTTGTATATTATGGTCTTATGTAAAATAATGTATTTCGTTTTA